GAACTCTTGGGGACAAGTCTTACTTCCCACATCTGAAGGTCAAGAAAGTTTCAAAAAAGTTTTAAAAGGTTTAAAACTTGTGGGAACTAAGAACTAAGAACTAAGAATGCTGTTGGAGAGTCTGGGGGAATCTTAGTTCTTAGTTCTTACTTCCAGAAAGTTTTAAAACTGTTAAAACTTTTTTGAAACTATTGTATGGCAATGTTTTCTGGAATTAAGATTGCTGTGGGAGAGTGTGGGGAAATCTTAGTTCTTAGTTCCAAAAAGCTTTAAAACTTTTAAAACTTTGTGGAACTCTTGTATGGCAAGGTTTTCTGGAACTCATTTTTCTCTGCGAGAGTCTTCTGGTAAACTTGCCTCACACTTGCCGACCCAGCTGCTCGTTTTGTAGATTTTAGACTCGTAGACTCCCTCAACTTGAGTCATCTTTCGTCATGCCGTCCTTTGCGGTGTTTGGAGATGTATCCATGTCCGGAGACAGTGCCCAGCTGAGCCTCCAAATTTCTGAGCCAACCATCGAGACGCCCAAGCTGGATTTCAAAGCTCTGTGGGAACGCATTCTGGCCGGCAACATTCCTGTGCACCCTTCACGTATCCCCCTCGACAGGAAGACTTTGGCCATCATGTGGACTGCGCATGAAAATTCACCCAGTTCCCCTGAGGAGGCGGTTGCTGCACCTCTCATACCAGTACCAGTTCCACGGCCGGCAAATGCCCCTCGGCGCCGCCCAACCTTCAAAAATCCATCTCCCGAGAAACGCTTTCGCAAGAAAGCCTCGCAAGAAGGAGTCCAGTCTGAAGAGCAAGTGGTCCACGGCCCCCAGCCTGCCGCAGCGCTCCCTGAAGATGCTGAGTTTGCTGCAGACGAAGAAGCTGCAGCAGATCTAGGCCTTAAGGACTGAGAGGTGTCCGTTTTTGTCAGCATCGGGAAAAGATCCAATGCACACGAGCGTGTAAAAAAAGGGTACTTGTGTCAAAACTTTGTGTGTTGCTTTTTCTTCATTGCTTGAAATTCACAAACGTTCACGGCAGGTTGCATTCCTGTGTATTCACGAGCCGTTTCAACAGATCAGTTCAGAAGCTCCCATACCTCCTCTTGCATCCCTTGATGGCGAAATTCAACCCTTTTCCCGCGCCAAAAAAAGGTAAGGCTCGCATGGTGCAGAAGAGGCCGGCATCAACCAAAAGCAAAGCGTGGAGCCAGGTGCCCTACACGAGGGACGAGAGTGCTGTGCAGCCCCGTGGTCTTCGCATGGACCAATCCAAATGGAAGCGCAGTCTCTTGGACCTCGTGCGCGCTAATGACAAGGGCATTGTGGAGAAGCTTGTAGCAGACAAGATATTGGTCTCATGGGAAGGTAAGCAATGTCCCAAGTGCGAGCACGGCACCCTCTCGAAGCTGAAGCCTGGGCCACGGAATGGAAGCTTGAAGCACAAGTGCAACGACTGGCGCTGCAAAGCTTGGTTGAATCCACATTACTTGCACCCTCTCTTCACTGAATGCAAGGGGCCCGAAGGTCATCCACTCCAGATTCAGAGTGCTTTGCTCTCTCTCCTCCTCAACAAGGTTTCCAATGGAGTCATTCACAATGCCTTGCGTGTCAACCACAAAGCCATTGAGGACATGCGCTCGAAGCTGGCAGCTGGAAGGAAAAAGTGTGTGGAGGCAACTGAAAAAAAATTGCCTTTGGAAATTGCAAGACGTGGGTGGATGTGGAGGGAGATGAGACCACCTTTGACAAGAAGCCGGTGAAGAAGGATGGCAAGAATCTCATGGAGTGGGAGCAGTGGGTTGGAATGGTGCAAAGGGGGCAACCGGACACTTTGATTTTGCACCGTCTACGTCCTGAACTGACAGAGCCACGGGCGCCTGGTCCCGGCGCCATTCGCAAGCACGAGTGGCAGCCGATTGCTGAAAAGCATCATGAGCGGTAGGAAATTGATTTTCCACACTGATTCAGCTCGAAGCTATAATATAAGCTTCGTCTGCCTATGGTTGTCCATGACCATGTAGTGCATTGTAAAAAGCGCATCAAGGTCAAGGGCAAATGGGTGTGGATGGCTCCCAAACATGTGTCTCTGCGCAAACACAAGTTGCCAGATTCAAGGAAAGTCATCAAGGTGAAGGCAGGCACCCAAATCATTGATCGTGTTTGGCGGTTCTTTAAGTCTCGCCTGGCTTTGAACCAACATTCCAAGGCAGGCTCAGTGAGGCTCCGGGAGCAGATCCGGTCCATCCAGTATGAGTACTGGAATCGGAATAAGGAATATAAGGATCTGTGGGTGGCTTCCGGTGACCTCTGCACATGGTTGACACAAAAGTTTGTCAAACCAGTTGAGTGAAGCACCTTCGATCAGGGATTGAAAAAGTCTGTGCTGGCTGTGTCTGCTTGTCACGTAACAAATAGGACTTCTCTTGCGTCTGCTTCTCAGAAGGCTTCTCAAGTAACAAGTCGCAAGCTTTAGCATGCAACTGTAAGTGTATCGTCTGCTGTCATCTGGTAAGCTTTAGCATGCAACTGTAAGTGTATCGTCTGCTGTCATCTGGTGCATCCTACGCAATACATATGCAAGTGTCTTTTGGCTGTGACATGAAAATGCAGTCATCTGGTCTATCTGCACTTGAAGAAAAACGGGGGTACTTGGGGGGGGGTAGCATATATATATATATATATTATATTATAATATATATATATATACTTATCTTATATAATCATATCCAAAGATATCAACCATAATTGTCGTCATGTTCAGTGAAAGGTGACTTGCACCCGACCTGACCCAGCAAGAACTGTGCAGAGCGTCCGTCCACGCCATTTGAGCACGTGACCATTCATGTTTGTGTTTTCTCTCCACAACTTGCTCAGGTGGAAGGGTTCTAGCCTTAGTTGCCAAAGGTGAGTTCTGCAGCGCAGACGTGCATCTCTGGCGTTGCAAACGATGTAATCACTCATCAACTCGGGGTACGAGCACTTCTTCCTCTGTTTAAGCCATGCTTAATGCTTACCTTTCAAGGTTTATGTACTATCGTCACAAAATGGAAGTATTTAAGACATTTCCGATTCAGCAATTCCTGCATCACCTACTCCGGTGAAGGATACGATGTAGGTGGGTCGGGAAAGACCCCTACCTCTACTAGAATGACTAAAATATGCAACAAATTGTGAAACAATGAACTTGAGGAGATGTGTTCATCGAAAGTGATCATGCAACTGAACATGGAAGGAGTGACTCACCATGTACAGTGTACAGGAGTGCTATGTAGAGATTGATAAATTGGAGTCAAAATCTATTGGGCCATTTTTGTTGACATCACAACTACAGGGGGTTGACACCCACCGCATTTGAAACTATGATAGCACCGATAGCACCTGACCCATTTGATGGGTAGTGTCCAGATCTATTGGCCAAGAGACTCGAAGCGCTGATCCAAGGTCCATCGCCTCTTTCTTTGCCAAAGCGAAAGTGGATGGAGCTGAAGAAGTTTCGGGAGTCGAGGAACAGCCGATTCTTTCAGCAGCAACTCTGGCTGGTCGGCACAGGGCCGCCCTTACGGTGACGGCGTCAACGAGTGATTTCGTCGGCGCAGGTGACAGTGGCTTGCCACGGAACTCAAGTCTTCAGGAATTGATATGTTTTTCTTTATAGTACCTATTTGTTTCACTTACTATAGGGGGGGTTGCCGCATGATTTTTAATGGGTGGGTTGCCGCATGATTTTTAATGGGTGGACAGGATTAACATGTGAGAGCTGAATCCCCAAACCTGCGAGTCCACTGAATGTTTGACATGGAATAGAACGTCTTTTTAGACCCAGTTCCTTGAGACTCAGTCTCCGGGTTGACGGTTGACTGCCGGTTGATCCTGGTCGGTGGACCTCCTAGGTCGTTTGGTGGAACCGGTCGGTCCGTCGGTTGTTCCCGCCCGGGATCCTCCCGGGACCCGCTGATGTTCTTCCAACCGGACCTTGCTTTGTGACCATGTCTCAAATGCCTGAGACTCGCGCTTTTGGGTGACTAGCATGTTGGATCATTTGGGCGTTCATGATGTTCATGTTTGTTGGCGTTGAACAAGTCTAATTTGATGTTTTTCCCGTTATCCCAAGATGTCTATGAATGAAGCAAGAGACCTTGCCCTGTAGGATGATGTTCTGCCAACACAAGCTGAGACGCAAAGTGACGCGTCCGATGGTGCGCAGGGGGGTGCAAGGCATGTCATGGGCTGGATGGTGGCTTCACGGATTTGGGAAACTTCCCAACACGGTTCTAAATTGAAACTGTAAGTCTAGCAGTGCTAGAGATGTTTTTTCTTGTATAGCTGTGTTGGTGCAACAACCTGTGTCGGACCTGGCTTGCAGCTGCGGGAATGAAGAGGCCCCTCAGAAGCAATGAATGTATCCTGTGGAGAAGGCAGTTTTCCTCGTCTCTTCCCCATCAAACTCCTCGATCATGTTTAGTCATTTAAAAAGGGAGGGTGTTCCTTGTTCCAAGGATTCTATCTCTTAACCCACCTCTGGGATGGCAACAAGATGAAATATTATTTGTCAATCGAATTGTACAAATGAACAATATTCTATCTTTCGGAAGGTCGCTATATACATTCAAGTCATGATCAATAGTCTTTCCGCCATTGAAGCACCATCCGCTTGTGATGAGAGTGCTTTGTGATCTTTCTTTCCATCCAATAGCGACTGTGACAAAAGAAACATCCCTCGAGACAACTCGCGGGTCGAGCGGGTGTCGCATCCCTCGGAGACTTCGCGTGGATCACCGTCCCCACGACCGAGCGAGACGGAGTTCGCAGGAGTTCCGACCGCAACGGAGCGAGCTTCCGAACGCGAGAGCAGAACGTCACACAGACATGAACAATCGCATCGCAACGGAGCAAAGAACCTTACTATACTACGTACCAGGGGCCCCACGTGTCCCATCAAACACCTTGTTTTCCTTAGAAAAAAGAAAAACATGGTGTTTGGTATGTGAAAACCTTTGTTTTTCATGGTTTGCTTACCGGGCCCCCGACGTCGCCTGCAAGTCGCACGTGTTTCACCTGGACCACCCGGTCTGCTGTTGGCGTCTCCGTCGCGTGCGCCACGGATCCGGTGGACCCGGTGCCAGGCGGTTCGGAGCGTGCGCCGGAAGCCACTTCGGTGGAAGCCACTTCGGTGGGGCCCAAGGAGAGGGTTGGTCAAAGTATTCTACGCCTCCCATGAAGTGGATCAGGGGAGGCCAGGTGGTTTCCTTGGACTGTTTTTTTTGTCGGGATGTTGGCAGGCAACTGCATGTGTTTGCCAAAGAGCCAAAGAGTAGATGATTCATTGGAGGAGTCACTGGAATCCAATCGTGTCCCTGTCTTCAGGGACGTTGGATTGAAAGCATAGGGAAGCTTCAGAGCATGAAGAGTTTGTGAAGAGGTTGAAGGTAAGTCAGCATCAAACGGTCATATTGTTCATTGACTAGGCCGTCATCGGCCGTCATGGGTTTCTCATGGTTCATCTCAGCTTTCTGGAAGGTACCTTATATAATCAAATGAAAGCCTTTGGACATCCGAAGATCGGTTGGAGGACACCTTTCCTTGAGACATTCCTTCTCGTGTCATCATGGAACAAAATGCCTGTCATCATCTGGATAGAAGTGCGGACAGGACAGGCAGCCCGCCAACGTGGCGGAGTTTCACAAAGCAAGCCGCGTGAGCCTTGGTGAGCTGCATAACATAGGAGCTGCAAAACATCCTCCGTAGGAACTGCAGCTGAACCCGAAGAACAGCTGGGAATAGGAAACATGAACCGACGTGTTCCCAATTTGAGATGCGTTCCATGAGAAGCTCTCATGATCCCCCCTGATGAGAAGTATTTCCCCTCAAATTGATCCCAATTCCCCAGTTTGGCTGAGAAGCTTGAACTCCATTTTGATAGACTCGTTCCCTTTCAAATCATGTTCCCATTTCAGTTCCCTTTTCAGTCACCGGCCGGGCGTTGGAGGCGTTTTTCGCTCGGCGCATGCTCCATTCGTCGTGGCACACCCGAGGCCTACATTTCTTGGGGACCTGGCGCGAGCGCTTCGAACGTTGGCGTGCTGAAGGCGGCGCAGGCGAGGTTTGGGGTCACTGGGCCAGTGGTTGGTTTTTCTGGCACATGACCAGTCCAAAGGTGAAGCTTGACCCTTCCTTTGGTGGGTGGAGATATTGTTTTGGAAACTCACCATTTCAGAAGCAAGCTTCAATGAAAACCATCACCATGGACCATTACCATAGAATCATTGATCATCATTGATCAATGAAAAACGTCTATTCCTCTAGATTGCCCACCTGCCCCACACCGCTTCGTGCGGCACGCTTGCAGCTGCCGCTTTTCAGCGGCCGTCGGCGCGTGCGCCCGCGGGCGAGGTCCACGTTCCTCGCACGACGTCACCGAGTCACTGCGCCGGGACTTGGCGACGTTGCAGAAGGAACCGCTGGCACTCTGGGCGCACTTGGATGCTCGGATGGTGGGGGGGAGGGGGGAGGGATGGGGAGGGGTGAGGGAAGAAGGTGACCGTGCACTGCATGACTGCTGCATCAAAAGTGTCTCTACTTGGTGAAAGTACACACTCTTCAAATTACAGCTACCCAATGATTCACCTGGGGTAGTTCACCCGATTCTAGAGAGTGGATGGATGTGGATGGTCACTCAAGCAGGGCGTGATTGATTGCAGACCTTCGTCGATTACTGTGTGCCCATTCTTAATCATGGACGTTTTAGAGATTTGTCCCCACCTGCCACCCTACTCCCGGGTATTCCACCATCATAATCGCTTTATACATACACCTCCATGATCCATGCCTCCATCCTTTGAGGAAGGTGCTTTGGACTGGACGTCAGACCAGTTGGTGACATTGTAAAAGACTCCAAGCGACTCCAAGGGCCCAAAGAAAGTTCCTTCGTTGATTGCTTCAACGAATGCATGCGTTTTTTCCCCACCAATTCCAGGTGAGGCTTCTTCCATTTTGAGGGTGCCCTGCCTTCCAAATCGCCTTTCAGCCATGGGGATCACTCACTCTACTTAGTAGAGTGTGTCTTTTTTCTCGGAAGCAAGCATTCCAGCTGCCTTCACAGAGCCTTCACCGAGCCGACATCCTCCGACCCTCCCGGATCGGTTCGAGGACATGGACTGCTTCTTTGCTTCCGTGGCCACCCGCGACATGGACGCTCCAGGCGAAGAGGTGCAGACCGAAGACCGGTGGGAATCACCTGCCTTTGCCCAGTGGCGCCTCCCCTGGCCCAGTGGCGCTCTCCTTGCCCCAGAGGCACCCAAAAAGGAGGAACCCAGCGACAGAGCGCTGGCGACAGAGCGCGGGAAGGGCGGTTCTCGGCTCTCTTCGCGCAGCAAAGACCTTCTTGGATTCTCTTCAGACTGACGAGGGCGACTCATACAGATACGAATGAGGGTGGCTGGACCCAATCTGACGAAACTTCCCACATTCCCCACCAGTGGCGCTAGTCAGCAGATGACTCGCAATCTTTTCCCTCGCACCGTTTTCCGATCCACAAAGCTATACGTTCTCCTCACTAGCAGCTCGTTGGCTTTATAAGGTGGGAACCACGAACGGGTGGAGGATCCTCGGGGCTTCACCTGGCAGGTGCCGACCGCCGTGGTCTCGGGCCTCGGGCCGAGCTCGGAGATTTGCTCGGCGCCGGGACCTTTGAGTGTTGGGGGGACAACCAGGTGGTGGTACTAACATGCAGCCCACAGCCCAGTATAGTTATAGTATAACATGCACTATAGTCGCTATAGTGCATTTTTTTTTGTTCAAACACGTTCGCACAAAAAATCCGTGCATCCGGCCTTTTTTGTCAAATGGACAAATTTTCTGGAATTCCTCCGAATATTGGGTTTGATTGGGTTTTATCAATATATTTTTTTGGGTTTTTGTCGATAAAATGTTGATAAAGTTTGGGTTTCATATGGGTACGCTTTTGTACGGTATTGTTTTTCTGTCCATACGGCTAAATACGCTAATTCGTTAATTAAAATGTCCATACGATAAATTCTGTCCAAATACGGCCTTCGCACAAAAAAAAGTGTTCATATGCCTTTCCAGGTAGTTATAGTAATGCTGGTTGCAAGTGCATGAGTAATACTATATGACTATAACATGCAGTGAGATGTAGCAAGATGGGTGACAAAAGTCCAACCTATGGAGAAGAGTGAAGTGTTCTTTAGGTGCCCAGCCCCACCCCAAGTTTTTGGCTAGTGCACAGGGTCAATCTATCACGCAACTTGGTACACTTACAATACAATCACCATCTCGCTTGGTTGAGTCTTCTTTTAAGCCACAACAGTCGACAGCCACCTTCACACCATCGGCTGAAACCGAGGAGTGTGAGAATGAAGACGATAAGTTCCCACAGCTTCCAGTCCACACACGAAAAACACAGCAGGGAGGCGCCGCGTCTCATTTTTTTTAGCTTAGCCAACGCAGCTCTACTGTTGTGGGTTTTTACCTTACCCCTGCACCTCAAGACTAATGCGCCCAGGCTTACCATGGCCCACCAAAGACCAAATGACGCCGACCCCTGGGCCGCCTAGGAACTATGCCGCACGCCGAGCCGGAGTTGGGGAGCTTGGCAAACGACTTCGAAAGCCCACAACCTGGCACAATGATGGATGAATATATACGTATACAATGGTCGCTGTAGTGCATGATCCTTCCTCAGCAATTTTTGTAGGTGCATGTCATTGATTAGCAACTGAGCTTTGACAGAGTTTGGAGAAACCAGCTCTTGACCATTTGAGCTGAATGTTTTGCCATCGCCATCGCCTCAGATCTGAGGTCAATACACATCTCTGGTTTGTGGAGCGCGCCACGTCGATCCTCCCCTCGTCCGGGCTCCAGGGCGCGGGCGGCACCGAGCGGCCGGCTGGTGGGTTCGGAAAGAGAGGGGCCGAACAGACACATTCCCCAGACACGACCCATGGGACTGCCATATATGCCTATACCAGTGAGGTTTCGGTTCGGTTGGAATCGGTTTGAATGTTTAATTGAATCTTCGAATCGGTTCGGTTTGGTTGAGGAAGCTTTTGTTCATGCATTTTCGGTTCGGTTCACGGTTCGTTTCGGTTCGGTAAGGGATAAGTTACCCTGTGAGACAAGACAAGAAATAGATAAGACAAACAAGACCAGAGAAGACAAAACAAGACATGATGTGATGTGACATGTCATAGCAAATCAAGATCTACTTGGTAGATTTCCTGTCCAATATGCTTTCTAGACCGCCTGGAAAAAGCATATTCACAAACAGCTGTCTTTTCCTCAGCTTCTCATGGCTCAGAGGTTGTCTTGACTTACTTGTTGTCGACACGATGTCCCTCATGGTGCCTTCGTACATGATGCCAGAGCAGCTGCGCTTGGCTCGTGTGCAGCTTTGTGTGGGGCTGTTCCTGTTCAGACCTGCAGCGTTCAGCCCTGCAGCAGCGCAACCGCACGAGCAAGCAGAGCGGAAGAGCGGAAGACCTCGTAAGGGCACAGCTGTGGCTGTGCAGGGCACAGGCAAAAGTGGCCAGTGTCGTCAGGTGGGGGTTGAATATGCTTTTTTCTGCTTGATGCAAATGCATATTTGGCTGCCTAAAGTCCTAAAGGTGTTTATGATGGGCCGCCTTCTGTTCTGAGTGCTTAAATGCTTTTTGCGAATCGGAAAAAATGCATTTTGGAGTTGCCCTGCACATGGCGCAGGCGGACCAGCAGATTCAATATTTGCAGAGCCGCCCTGATGTTGCTTGCTTGACGAAGACTTCCATGTGTCGCTTGACCAAAGAGATCTTGCAGACCATCGTCAAGGAGCGCAACAGTCAGAGAGACCCATGGCTTCCGTGCAAGGAAAACTCCTTGGCTGAGCTCAAGATCTCCGCGGCAGCTCTAGCCGTCCTCTCTCATGCCGCTGAAGCATACGTGGTTCAGAGGCTGGTGCAGGGCAATGTGCTCGCCGCTCACCGTGGGAAGAAGACTTTGACTGAGAAAGACCTTCAAACTCTGCAGACAGTGGAGGAGGTTGCGGCTGGCCATGTTTGCAAGAAGCCGAGAACACAGTGAGGGCGGTTTTTGGGTCGATGGCCTAGGGTGTCAATGCTACGCATTGTTGTAGGGATTTGTGTCAAGATGATGCTCTTGAGCTTGAAAATGTGCTAGATTGCATTTGTAGTGAGCACGCTTCTTGAGCTTCTTGAGCTTTGTCAGTGTGTACGCTTCTTGTCAGACATGCTAGACTGCATTGTAGTTGTGTCGAAGGGATGCATTTTTTCAATATGCTTTTTGCAGCAGTTGGTAAATGCACATTGCACATTCCAAGCCTTGCGTTAGCCTTACTAGACTTGTGATGCTTGGTTACTTACATTTGGTTGCACGGACTAGAGGAACATGAACACTCTTGTGCCGTTGATTTTAGGAGCTCGAGAGCTGTCCAGTAATGTAGATGTTTTTTGACCCCATGTGCTACAAATGCCTGCTGCCGCAGAAAGAAGCTGGGTGCACAGGGAATTCTGGCCGGCAAGACCAGGAGTGCCTGTGCGGTTTTGTAGAAGGTGCAACGCAGTTGAGCCAAGTCTAGAAGAAGTACAGAATGTGATCGATCGTGGTGGCAAACCACGCCGACACTGGAAAGGAGCTTGCGGCTTCGCCAGCACCAGTACCAAAATGCGTTTTCCATTGTCCAAAAAAAGCATTTTCACACGAAAGCCACCGATGACTCCACCTTCCTTAAATGCTTTTTTAACCAGAAAGAAAAAGAATATTTGTAGTTGACTCACTGCAGCAAGGTTCGCAAGCAAGTGGAAGCTGAGATGTTGCACTATGAGCGCCTGAATGTCACAGGAGAAAGCCCTTTGTCTTGGTGGCGCAGCCATGAAGGACAGATGCCAGTGCTCGCCCAGTTTGCGCAAGCGGCTCTTGGAGTGCCTGGCTCCAGCGCAGCTTTGGAACGGCTTTTCTCGAAAGCCGGTTTGTTCATCACCAGGCGCCGCCCGCGCTTGAAGCCGGGCCGCGCCAGTGACATGTTGTTTGGGCACGCCAATGTGCAAATGCTTCTGTGACCTCGGACAGCCCTCGAAGAAACGTTGCGGATCTCGGAGCAGGGGGGAATTCCGGTTCGTAATTTTTTCCGGTTCGGTTGTGATGGGATAATTGACGGTTGTAATGATTCGGTTGATGAAAAATTTCGGTTCTTGACATTCACGAGGTTTCGGTTCTGAACAAACGGTTCCGAATCGATTCGGGACCCTTCCTGCTATACATTGGGGTGGTTGACTGCGGGGTCAATGGGGCGGCATATATGACACACATGGAGTGTCTGGGTTCTATATCCCCATACACCAATGCTCCGTGAACGACGGGCGACCGGCCCCGCAAGAACCGGTCGGGATTGGGTCCGGACTCCGGATTCGAGGAACCGGCCCCGACTTATAGGAGGGTGGATGAGCGTTTGGGATAGACCCAGAAAGAGCAGACATCCTGATGAGATTGGTTGAAGTCACCCTCCGGCAACGTGCAAAGGCCCCAAGAAATCATCCATTCGGCCATTAAGAGCTTTCCCAACTTCCTTAAGAGTCTTGGCATCTGACCTGGCGCCAGGGCTGTCCTGTCTCCACCACATACGGCACCCGTCTCCAGGCTACGATTGGTGCCCATCTCCAGCGAGCTACTCCGCTCCGCCGGGAGCCGAGCTGCGAACAAAAACCAGCACAGGAGATCACAGGAGCTCAACCTGGTCAATTTCAACGGTTCTTGGACCCTGAAACCTCACATGGACGTACATGAAAGAAGCAACAACTTGTATAATCTGCTGTTCGGTGAGTAAAGGGTTGATTCGTCCCAGTTTCCAGCCTGACTCGCGACTTTGACACAGGGAATCCTGTGATGACCATAGAAACCATTGAGGAAACCGAACCCGGTGGCGCTGATGGTACTTAAGATTCAGCCCCAAAAAGCAAACACTAGTTACTAGTGACTAGTGTCGCTTCAAGAACAGGCAAGCAAAGCAGTTCAAAAGCAACAGCGTTTGCGTGCAATGTTTTTGTGTCCGAAGCACCAAACACAGAGTGATGGTTAGTCCCGAAGAACTGCCACCATCAGTCAGCCCCCTCTGTATCGTCTCTATTTTCGCTGAGCTGGTAGTCCAAGTGCTTTTGGTTTCATCCGGGATAGTCCTCAACACCTATCTTGGACAGGAACTTCATAGTTCAGAGAAGATAGGAAAGGGGTGTGGCAGAGGGATGGCAAGCAAGAGCGAGGTCGAAGATACTTGGAAGCAGGCGCGTCAGGTTTTGTGCAGTTTCTTTCCTGGATAGATAGTTCCAAGTCAAAGTACTCCAGTCGCAGACTTCAGGAGCATGATTGCAAACCAGTAGACGATTGATGGAGTGGACTTTGAATCCTAAATTTATCACTGAATCTCGCATGTCAATGCATAATAGTGATGCAGGATGTCGACAAGACCTACATAGATTGAAGGAGAGGAATAGACAGAGAAAGGGTTGCTGCCACAATATGCAAGATGCACATATCTTGGACTCCGACACAGGCATAGCACACCCACTGAGACGGCGCTGCAGTCACTTAGACCACCCACGGATGTCATTGATCGACCAACCACGGCCATCTCACTCGTCTCCGCTGCTAGCAGCGGAGGTTTACCAACTGCTAGCAGCTCGGCGCGTCGTGAACGATGCAGCAGAGGTGGCCAAAACGCCCTCTCGGTAGGGCCACAGGTGGCGACCATTGTCGGATGGGGTTCCTTTGAACTGAGCCGAAGTACACTCTGACGAACACATCACATGGTTACGTGGATGGCATGGTCCCTTGGAAGTGGAAAAAAATGGTAGAGGAAAAGTCGTCTTCCTTTCGGGACCATTCCATCCACGTAACCATGTGATGTGTTCGTCAGAGTGTAAGTAGCTGAGCCGCTCCTGTTGCTTTTGTTGGTGGATGTTCACTGGTGAGACCTTTTTCAAGGCAGGTGGGACCTTGGAGGGCCTTGGATCTTGAATCATGTTTCAGTTTTTGAAATATCTAGCAGATCGTCCATACATATATATATATATAGAAATAATATATATATATGTATACACACTCACAATGCATGCATGCATATTATATATTAAAGATATAAGTAAATAGTACCATAAGGTACCTGACAGGTGCTTCCGCCTTCCCCGTTTCAAGATGTAGTCACCTTCGTGCCCAGTAATATGATCCTTCTCTGAGGTCACCGCCTGCCATGATGTCCCAGACAACGTCCTGATGCGGTCGTGCGACGAATCCGCCTTGAACCCGGAACGAAAGTTTTTTTGCAGCTGTCAAATCGAAAGGATCATGTAAATAGTGTCATTCAAGGTGATGTCCCGATTCAAATTCACAGATGTTTCCCTATTTACCCATTCTTGATGTTCCACCGCTTGAAAACAGACGATGGAGCACATTTGCAGCATTCTTTCTAGACCTGAGTGATGCAGACACTGGAGTAAAGCATGATTTCTTTCATGAGATCTCATGGAGTCCATGGTCATGTGTTGCAACCGAGTCCACGTATGGCTCCGAGGCCCTTCGTGTGGAGGGCTTCGCCGACGCTCAGACCGTTCAGACCGACTGGTGGACCAACTACCCTCAGACTAACGAAGTGAAAAGACGGCTGTTTATAGAGTAAAGTGGTCTTGCCCAGTGGCCACTGTCCACTTCCCTGTTGCATGTGAGTGGGAGTGGCCTCATGTCCTGATTGACTGCATGAGGAATTGACCCAAAGAATTGACTCACTCCTGAAAGAATCCATAGTTATGTCGTTATGTGGATGGGATGGTATACCGACCGTGAATTCCGAAGCCATGATTGATATGATTGTCCACCTAGGGAGTGAGCTTTTGGAAACTCCTAGTTTTGACTCAAGAAGATGCGCAGAATCTTTTTAAAAGGACAGGATGGAGCACATGATGTTTGTTTGAAGTCAACTTGGTTTTGTGTAGGGTGATGTTCGTTTTCCCTGTGGGTGAATCCCCTTCTGACGGGGATTGTTTCCGGGTTTCATAAGCAAATCCAAGCTAAAGTATTCATACTCGGTATGTTTAGTTGCAAGATCTAATAACTAACTGAACCTCAGCGAGGTAAGACCATGGTAGGCCCAATTTCATCAAAGTCCATTGCTTGGGACATCCCCTCAGAACAACACAACTGAGCCTGTTGCGACAAACCATGCTTGACAACATCCACCCCATTCCACCCCCATTCTTTGAGCTTTGTGAATGTTACCACCACCAGAACAGTGACCGGGATTGCGGCAGCATACAGGACACAAAGATTGGCAGACAGGTTGGGAGACCTAGGCTCCCCCACTCCCTCTTCTTGTAGATTCTTCTGCAAAGGTGGAAACACAAGGTGTGATTGACAGTTGATTAATGACCCTCCCCATATGGCCGGCTGACTTCAATCTAAATCCGTACATTCCTTAATGCATTCATGCATTGTACTATAGTAGGCATGGATTAAATTATATCCACTGTTTCAAGTGGCAAGTGCTTAATCAACTTGAATGTGTCTTTAAACATACATCATATCCAGCAGTTTGGCTGCCAAGGATCCTGTCGCTTGGGCGGAAGCGTTGCGGAAGGCGGTGTTCCAGCAGACAGGAGAGCAGCAGACACATTTGGGTGACTATCCACAATAGTGACAATGAGACGGGATCTACAAGACAAAGTAATCTTGGTCGCCAGTCGCAAGTGATTCAGCTATCTCGCATGATCTCACTATTTGAAACAAATCTAATATTACGTGGGTTGTGACACCATATACAGTATAATATAGTATAACTGTTGTTGTAATTTAAATCTATATTTGGACCAGAGCTTAGGTTTGAATTAGCACGAATCTTGTGTGGATGTGGGAGACACCGATGGAAAACAGTAGCTTCATTGGAGCAGCCAGGACTTAAGTTCACCATTGTTGGAGTGTTATACTATGTTATATACAATATATATATATATATATATTATAACTATATATTTAAAACAATATATATACATTTTCTTGCGGCAAAGTGACACCTGGAGTCCGCGAAAAAGTTGCATTGTTATATGTTCTTCTCGTCCTCTCGTCATTTGCTCGCTGTGAGAACGTGACATTGTGCCGCTTTCACAGTGTTCACAAAAGCGTCCTCATCATGACCGACAGTCATAGGACAGTCAGGGCAGTTGTAGGAGTCAGGGCAGTTTGTCAAGTTTGTCACGATTGCATGGCTTTATGTTCTGTAGATGGGCCGACGCTTCTGCGCGGCGCTGTAGATGAGCACGGCCGTTCGCCGTGCAGTTTTCAGCGCAGCGCAGCGCCGTGCTGTTTCTGCGCGCCGTATAGGATGCACCTGCAGTGTGGGTCTGGGACCTACACAGCTGGTGGCCAAGTTGGCGACGAAGGCGCCAATCTCTGGTGGAAAATAAAAACATTAAACACATGTGGGCCATTAAGGTCGGCTTCTTGTTTGGAAGAAGGGACATATGTCCATGCTGTTTGGGGTTTTGAACTTTGAACTATGTTTTGTTGCTTGCAAAAGAGGTGTGTCCATCGAAGAACATGTCCATGGAGTGGGTATGAGTCGGTCGATCGTGACGTGAGGTTTCATCGTGTCAGGTTCGTCATAAGTTGGTGAACATATCGGAGGTGCATGTCGGTGACTGTCGGAGGTGCATGCTGGAAGTGAGAAACCACCGGAAAGGAGAGGAGAGGAACATTTGATCATTTTTGCACGTTTTCACTACAGAATGGGCTGGGTTGACCACTGGAACAATAGGCATTGTTTTGATACAGTATAGAGGCCCATCTTTGCCAGGCCAGGCTCGGCTTGTTCCCCTGCCAGGCCTGCAAGCCCAATGGTGTCCGAAGGGTCTTGGAGGATGAGGCCAGGAAGACTCAGGGGCTGAGATCGGTAAGGCCCGGATGGCAGTGGCTCAGGGGTTCTTCTGGCTGCGCTTGGGTGTTTGGTGGCCTGCTTGGATGATCGTTACATCACTCAATCTAAAGCAGAGGTTGCGCCAGCCCGTACGCAGCTTCCTCCAAAAGCCGTGGGAGAAATTGGGGACCCTTCTCCAATCGGTTTGGCCGACCAGTCGAAACCGGACAAAAACCTGCCCACGGTTTTGAAACATGTGTGCGTCCCTTCGAATATTTGTTTGTGTTTTCAAACTTAAACTACCGTCATAACTGAGTTTATGTTATTGTATAACTAAAAGAATCTAAAAGAACATATACAAGCCTGGACTCCCTGGACCCCCAAAAAGGGGGACAATTCAAACAAGTTTGGTGACAAAACGTGTTACTTCTGCGTTCGTTTTGGTCACTTCTGCTTCATGGCTATAGCGAACTTGCTGCATTTCTCTGCGTCATGTTTTCCGGCGAGACGGTTGAAAAGACCTTTGATGTAAATTCGTTCGATTGAATTATATATATTCTATTTTTTTACTTACACTTGTCAGTCACGTAAGCTTGAGAAGGTGAATCTAGATATCGATTTGATGGCCAAGGTCAAGAAGTTTGTCGGAGAACTGCCACTGAAGGACATGCCGCAGGCTCACCACATGATGCCGCACCGTTTTTGCAGAGTGTTGGTGGTACATTACCTTACCCAAAGGCTGTCTAAAACGACCATCCTTGGATTTCTGGGAGCTACTCGCACTTTTTCCTGGCTAGTCAGATCCTGGATCTGACCACTTGCTGCAGCCAATGAGGATCTCAAGGTCAAAGAGCCAGAAAGAGTCAAGACTGAAGGAGGATGGACGGACAAACGTCCTCACGACAGTGCATTTGATCTTCAAGCACATTGCCACTCCCTTCAGCCCAGCCTAGCGATGAGCTTGCAAGGACCTGAGTTGAGGTGCGGACTCCTCAGAAGGTTCGGGGAAAGGTCTACAGTCCACAGTCCAGGTAGTTAGATGTACTTAGTGTTCTCGCTCTCATGTAGTGTTATTCAGAATTAGTTGCACAATGGTCACATACAATATGTTTGCGAAATTGGTTGCTGAGGTGGACACATGTGCTTTGGACACATTATTAGTGTGGGAATGGATTTAGATCCTAAAGTACGCATTTTGCAAGAGTCATACCCAGCGTCTCACTTCTTGTAACCATCAGCTGGCCAGAACTACTCGACTACGAGTGGATGACACCACGAAGCGAGTGGATTTGCCAAAGAAGCACCCATCGACGTCGACGTTCCAACAATTGTTCCAAATGACTTTCACCCCCCCACCCCCCAAAAAGAAAGAACAAAAAGGCAATCGGTCCGAAAACGATTCCAGTCGTTTTTTTCCACACGTCCCACGAACCGCCACAGGCGCACCGCCGCAGTGCCCGCGCCCAAGAACCTCTCGGCAGCACCCAGCTCGTTGTCCATGCCACGCAGTTCGGGCACCACAGCCGTGCGCTGCGCTCGGCGTGGTGTCCGCTCGCGCAGTGGCAGGAAGTGAGATGGAGCGTTCGGAACAGGGAGACCTCCCAGACGTTCCGAAACCCCTGGCAGAAAGGGAAAAAAGACGAATTAGTCGAATGAGGTCTCCCTATCAAAATAAGTACATTACAATATGGCACCCCGATGCCTTCGTGTGTTTCTTTTTTGTGTTTGTTCAGGTTGGTCGCAGAACCACTGATGAGAAGGGAGAAACAACCGGAAAGTCGATGGCCAGGAAGGTTTGCCCATGTTCAGGTAAGGAAATCATGAAGTCTCCATGGCGGCTTTGTGCCCTGCTCATACCTGGAGGTATGAGCAGGATCTTGGAAGAGTGACCAAGGTCGAGTTCCATAGCGTATCATAGCGTCCACAGTAAAAAGAAAGCTGGTGAGTCATTTGGTGATCATCTCCTTGGTGAGGATGATTTTTGTTGGATTGCATGACCTTTCATGGGACCACCAGGCGACCAGCTCGGCCCACCCAGGTGCCCCGCTCATCGCGCCGCTGGGCGGGGGCAATGACGAGGTGCCCAAAGCCACCGACGCGACGAGTTTGAAGACACCAGAACTCTGGAAGTTTAAGGATCACGTTTGTGAAGCAGAGTTGACTTGAAGCATGGACGCAAGATCGGTGAATTTGGCAGATTGGTATTACCCAGACGCGACCCTGGACCCTCCTAAGTAGGGGTCCGGACCCTCAAATCCCTAGGGTTTTGAGGGACCAAGAGCTGTTTGGAGCGTTTGGGTATGAACTTTGGGAACGCAAACACCTGTTGATGGCAGCTGCTCACGGTTGGGAAGATGAGTCTCCTTTGGGTGTCAAAAAAGCGACTCGACCTCACTGCCTGATCCAAAAGACCGCCTCCAGAAAGTGCTGGGAATGAGGGTGCCCGGGGCTCCCAGTTCCGATTCTTCTGCCTCTTCCATTGAGTTGGGTGCGATGTGTCCATCATTCTGACAGTCGAGGTGTCCGGAATTGCACCAATTTTCAACAAATCCCATTCTGAATGGATTCACTCTCAGGGGATCTCAGGGGACTCAATTCGATGAAAAGACCACCCCGATTTGAGGAGGATCGGACTCTTTTCCCTCATTCCTTCTGAAGATGTGTTCACGCCGTTGACAGGGTGCCACCTCGACGGGCCCACGCCTGCGGGAGAACACGGCAGCGACGCTGGACGCATGTGGGAAGTGCGTGTGGGCGGGGGTGTACCTTGATCGACCATGGGTTTCATGAGGATGTGAGTTCTTGCTTGATTTTAAGTAGTTTTTGTTTTCAGGTTGTTAAAACTTAACACAGATTTGGGTATCCATTTGAGAGTTTGTCATCATGTTTCATAATATCCAGGAGCTCAAGCAATCAGCCTCCTCATCCCCGACTTGAGCATTTGTACCACTTCAAAGCCGAAAGCTATTCAAACATATAGTGCGATTTTCGCTTGTTCCAGGATGTTCATTTAGAACATGGCTTGGCGTGGTTCATACCTTTGGTGGTGCATCCGACAGATTTTGCATTTCGAACATGTGTCTCCTTCCATCAGTGGCAGTGGAAGTCCATCCGACAGACGCCCAATCCGTTCAAGCTGAGGAATCCATTCAAGCTCGCGAAATCCGGCTTTGGAGGAACGGGCTCCGGCACGAACCAGGGTGTCATCGCAGGCTGGGAGGGGCTGACAGTCCCAAAGCTGGGGGTGGCGGCTGGATCTCATACAGCAGGTGGGCTTGATGGCACAAACTGAAACTCATAGACTCTTAGACCTTGTTTGAGCTTGTTCTATGATGGAAATGGAACCCATGTAGACAACATGACCTGGGGTTTTATCTACTCAGAGTTGTGCTTGATGGCAAAGAAATGCAGTCTTAAAAGGTGTTCACTTCGCTACACTAGCTGAGATGTAACTTCATTCCCTCATGCGTGCACCCACTAACTTGCAAGTAGCCTTTTTTTTCTGTCCTGGATTTGATGCCTGATGTGACAAAATAACAGAAAGATAACAGCTTGGAAGTATTAATTACACCCGGATCCTAGAAAAACATCGTAAATTGCTAATTTTATGGGATCCTCACGAGTAATGGCTCAAACGCAAAGTGGATGGACGTGAAGCAGACTACAGCCAGGCGCTGAGTACGTGCGGGGCCCCTTGCAGCCCACCTGGGCCGCACAATTGGCTGAAGCACGACATGCGAGCGCGCCCCGTGGCGGGTTACGGGTGGGTGGCAGGATGCGAGTTTGTTGTGTGTGGGGTACGCGGAAGCTGCGAGTTGGTGCGACCGGAAAGGAAAGATTCCAAGTGATCTGTGGATCATGGCATGTCAGCTCTTTGGGAGAACGATCAGAGTACCACTTGTGAGAATGTAGACGCATCCCGCACGACTCTTTGTCAGAGTTAACCAGTGAGGGTCAGAGCGCAGTGAGCGGAGACCACTGAAGGAACCTCTTATATAAACAATAATCCGTGTTGACCTTCAGGATGGCTTCATACATCCTCGCGGGTTGAACCCCCACCAGAACTTCCAAGAGCTGCCAAGGTCAAAGCGCTGATGTAGAGGGAATGATGGAATAGCTCACAGCGGAGTTTATCGCAGGGTCAAGAGCAAAATTGCACGCCGTCGAAGTACGTAGTTGAAGAAGCTGCTGTGGATGGAAGAAAGCTGGAGATTTAGTCAAGGAGCACCAGGTTTTGATATGTTTATGTTTGCAGATTCTTAGGCTCTCTGCAGATTCATCAAGGTTCAGCACACAAACCACAAACTCTCATGAGCATGCCGCCCCTTGAAAAAATAACCTTAAATAAGGCGTTGCAGCTTTCAATTCAGCGCCAGAAGCTTTCTCATGTTTGCGCCTTCGCAGCCATTGTGCTAGAGCAGCTAAAACCGGAGACAAGAGACATGTCGAGCAACAACACAGGGTGCTGGTGGGTGTCCCAGCGACCCAGGTCTTCACATCACACCCACAAATCGACGGAGAAATCAACGGGGGCCCAGGGATGAAAACCGACCACCCAAGTCGAGCCAGACACCGATCTTTTTCCGACTTCGTCACGACTTCGGCTGAGCGAGCCCATCCATGAAGTCCCCAGCGACCGTGTGTCTCCGTGTTTGGAACAACATGCCAAGCGTCAAGAATCGAACAGCACAAACACAGCGCTACATTCGAACAGCCACCGACCGGAGCCGCACCTGGAGACCGGCCGATTTGTCCCGTTCTTCGCTACATGCTGGGTGACCTGGGCACCCTGCCTGACCCCTAAAACTGGACAGATTCCTCTAAAAGGGGTGGTGTCAACCTACCATGGTTTGGTGAGGGAGGTTTTGATTCGCAGCCATCTCTCAAAGCCGAGTTCATCTCGCACGCCATGCATCACTCTGTCCCTGTCAGTGCACTGCCGCCGCCGCTGTCGCCATCGCCGTGCCGCTGGCACCAGGGTCACCTGGCTTGGACGGCATGGCGACAAGCGAACAACAAAAGGCCGTAACATGGAGCCTCAACATATCTCAACAACAGGAGCTACTCGTAGCAGCGGTTGTTCTTGGATACTACAATGGTCAAGGATACTGTCGTCACTGACAAGGGCTTGATCAGGGACTCGACCCGTGGACTCCGGAACCGCGACACAGCGCGTCATGACTGGACCGAACCGGTCGCTCAGGAGAACCCCTTCAAACGGGCTTCCCACCATCCCTTTGGTACCGGTGTGGATTAAATATGGAATGAATTGAGCATGTAAAACACATCTGTTTGTGGGGAGCATTTCTTCGCTTGAGCGCCCAAAAGTTACACTCTCAAAAACTACGATGCACCATCACGCACCAAGCCTTTGGCAAAGAAAAAGGGGCTTCCCACAACTCCATGTTCCATGCCCTTTCATGTCGTCCATGGTGTGGTATGTGTGGTGGCTGAAGGGTTCTGCCGATTTTGGGTTTTGAGGATATCGCTGTTGGCCTGCTGGGGTTGCGTATCTTTGTTTGGCCATGTCATCAGTCCATCGTTTTGGATGGTGGACTTCAGGACGGAGTGATGGGTCGATCTTTTGTTTTTTTGTGCGGCGCATCTTTGAGATGATCGCCCAGCTCGGTACCTTTTTTGAAGTAAGGATGTGGCTACGCAATGCCATCTACCTGG